AAATGTAGGTAAGAGGACACATCAAAGAGAGAAAGAAGGGCAGAGATGCAGTTGGGAGCTAAATGGACCTATAGGACTGTCCCTGGGAGAGAGGGATACTGCAGGCATGGAAAGGGGAGAGGAACAGAGGAGATCCCCACCCCAGGCATCCCAGGCATGGAGAACCTGCACCAGGAAGACAAATTCCCATAACATTTGGCTTTGAAAACCAGAGGGACCTAATTTTGTGAGGTCTTAGAATCAGCGGGGCTTAACTCCTGGGACTTTAAGACACAGAGGGCTTGGTTCTGGAACAGCCAGGAGGGCAAAAGGACCCTGAATCCCCATCCTTGAGGAGACAGCACAACAAAGAGCCCCACTGAGATAAATCACAGAAGCAGCAGTTTGAAAAATGCCTGGGGGTATAGGGGAGGGTGATGAGCTGCTTAATCTCAGAGCGTGTGCTAGAGGGGTACAGATCACTGGGAGACTTCTCCGAGAAAAAAAGAGCCGGCAGTCACCATTTCCCTCTCCATCACCCCCCACCCAACCTAGACACACAGACACTTGGGAGAGCCAACTTGCTAACAGTGTGCCACGCCCTTGCATCCTCCTGTGAACCTGCCCCCTCCAATAAGCTCTTTAACCAGGCCCTATTCAAAGTGGTTCTGTAAGACTGGCAGTGTGCAAGTAGCCCCAACAGGGACCAGCACCACTCCAAACTGACTCTCGCCCCATGGAGAGGGGGAGATAACCATACACCCCAGGCCCATGGCAGCCCCAAAAGTGGGCTGGAGGCAGACACCTGGTCTGTCTATAGAGCTTACCCACCAACAAAAGCAAGGGAGACAACACAGGGAAGGTGCCCTGCTGTTCAGGGCTACTACACTTCTTGCAAATGCCTGGTCTGACCCAACTCAAGTCCAGGGGGGCCCCAGACTGGTCAGCTGACACCACAGGGACCACACCCTGCCCACAAGCAGAGAGCACCATTGCAAACAACTTGACTGAAGGCAAAAGCATCTCAGTCAGGAGATACCTGTGAAGAACCAGGTTCTGGTGAACATGGGATGTTACACTGTAGGGCCCTAGAATATTTCTTCTTTGTAAGGCTATTACTTTCAAGAGCAGGAGATATAGGGGGCTCAGTTCTTAGATCATGTGACTCTTGATCTTTGGGGTTATGAGTTCAAGCCCCATATTGGGCACGGAGCCTACTTAAAAAAAAGCGGAGGGAGAGATTAAGAGAGAGAGAGAGTGCACGAGAGCAGGAGATGTAGCTGACTTTCCTAACACAGAAACAGACACAAAGAGTCAGACAAAATGAGAAGACAGAGGATGGTCCTAAATGAAAGAACAGGGCAAAATCACAGCAAGAGAGCTTAATGAAATGGAGATAAGTAATATGCCTGATAGAGAATTTAAAGTAATGGTCATAAAGACAGTCACTGAATTTGAGAAGAGTGGAGGACCATAGTGAGATTCTTAACAAACAGATAGAAAACATAAAAAAAAGAACCAATCAGAGATGAAGAATTTAATAAGTGAAGTTGAAAATACACTACAAGGAACAGTAAACTAGAGGAAACAGAAGAATGGATTAGTGACCTGGTGGACAGAGTAGTAGAAAGCAATCAAGCTGAAGAGGAAAGAGAAAAATAATAATAAAAAAGGAAAAACAGACTTAGGGAACTCAGTGACACCATTAAGCATAATAACATTCACATTCTAGGGATCCCAGAAGGAGAAGAGACAGAAAAGGGGGCAGAAAATTTATTTGAGGAAATGAGGATGAAAACTTCCTGAATCTGGAGAACAAAACAAAAATCCAGATCCAGGGGCACAGAGAATCCACAACAAAATCAACCCAAGACCTGTAGTAATTAAAATGGCACAAAGCAGAGATAAAGAGAGAATTTTAGGGGCGCCTGGGTGGCTCAGTGGGTTAAAGCCTCTGCCTTAAGTTCAGGTCATGATCCCAGGGTCCTGGGATCGAGCCCCACACCGGGCTCTCTGCTCAGCAGAGAGCCTGCTTCCCTCTCTCTCTCTCCACCTGCCTCTCTGCCTACTTGTGATCTCTGTCTGTCAAATAAATAGATAAAATCTTTATAAAAAAAAGAGAGAGAGAATTTTAAAAGCAGCATGAGAAAAGAAAACTGTTACATAAAAGGGAAATCCCATAAGGCTATTAGCTGACTTTTTTAACAGCAACATTGTAGGCCAGAACGGAGTGACATGATATAATCAAAATGCTGGAAGGAAAAAAAAACCTGTAGCCAACAACACTCTAACCCGCCAGGCTGTATCATTCAGAATAGGAGAGATAAAGAGTTTCTGAGACAAACAAAATTTAAAGGAATTCCTGGCTACTAAACCAGCCCTACAAGAAATGTTAAAGGGGACCCCAAATGGAAAACAAAGACCATAAGCACGAGTAAGAAAAGTAGGAAGCATAAAAGCAGTAAGATTAAGCATATCTATAAAAATCAGTCAAGGGAATCACAAAATAATAGAAAGTTAAGTATGACAATACATACCTAAAACATTGTGGGATGGTGGCAAAGAACGGGTTCAAAGACGGCCATCAACTTAATATAGATGGCTATATGCACAAGATGTTCTATACAAACCTCATGGTAACCACAAATCAAACATCAGTAATACACATGCAAAAAATAAGGAGAAAGGAATCCAAGTACATCACTAAAGAAAACCAGCAAACTGTGAGAGTACAGAGGGAAAAAAAAAAGGAACTAAGAATGACAAAAAGAACCACAAAACAGATAACAAAATGGCAAGAAGTACATACCTATCAACAATTACTTCGAATGTCAGTGGACTAAACACTCCAGTCAAAAGATATAGAGGGACAGAACTGATAAAAAAGGAAGACCTATCCATATGCTGCATACGAGAGACAGATTTCAGACCTAAAGACACAGGCAGATTGAAAGTGAAGGGATAGGAAAGCATTTATCATGCAAAAGAATGTGAAAAGAATGCCGAGGTAGCAATGCTTTTATCAGGCAGAAGAGACTTTACAACAAAGACTGTTATAAGAGACAAAGAACACTATATAATAATAAGGAGGACAATCCAATAAGATGTAACAATTGTAAATATTTATGCTCCCACCATGGCATCACCCAAAATACATAAAACAGTTAATAACAAACATAAAGGAACTAATCTGTAGTAACACAGTAATAGTAGGGAACTTTAACACTCTACTCTCATCAATGGACAGATTATCCAAACAGAAAATCCAACAATGAAACAGTGGCTTTGAATGACACATTGGACAGATAGATTTAACAGACATATTCAGAAATTCCATTCTAAATCAGCAGGATACATACTCTTTTCATGTGCACATGGCACATTCTCCAGAACAGACTACATATTAGGCCACAGAACAAGTCACAACAAATTAAAAAAGACTGAAGTCATACCACGTATCTTTACTGATCACAACAATATGCAACTAGAAATCAACCACAAGAAAAAACCTGGACAGACCACAAATACATGGAGGTTAAATGACAAGCTACTAAACCATGAATGGGTCAATCAAGAAATCAAAGAGGAAATAAAAAGCACATGGAGACAAATGAAAATGAAAACACAATGGTCCAAAACCTTTGGAAAGCAGCAAAAGCTGTTTGATGAGGGAAGTTTATAGCAATATAGGCCTACCTCATGAAGAAAACTCTCCAATGAACAACCTAACCTTACAACTAAAGGAGTTAGAAAAGAACAAATAAAACCCCAAACCAGAGAAGGAAGGAAATAACAAATATTAGAGTAGAAATAAATGAAATAGGAGTTTTAAAAAAAAAACAAACAATGGAACAGATCAATGAAACCAGGAGCTGGTTATTTGAAAGGATCAATAAATATGATAAACCTCTAGCCAGAATCGTCAAGAAAGGGTGAGAGAGAGAGAGGTCAAATAAAGTCAGAAATGACAGAGTAACAACAACCAACATGACCGAAATACAAAAAGATTATAAGAGAATATTATGAAAAATTAAATGCCAAAAAACTGGAAAATCTTGAAGAAATTGATAAATTTGTAGAAACATGGAACTTTCCAAAACTAAATCAGGAAGAAATAAAATATTTGAACAGATTATCAGCAATTGTAATTGAATGAGTAATTGAAAGACTCCCAATAAGCAAGAATCCAGGACCAGATGCCTTCACAGATGATAACAGAGAGTGAATACCTAGTCTTCTCAAAGTACTACAAAAAATAGTAGAAGGAGGAAACCTTCCAAATTCATCCTATGAGGCCAGCTTAACCCTGATACCAAAACAAGATAAAGATACTAATAGAAAGAGAGAGAACACTACAGGCCAATATATCCGATGAGCAAAGATGCCAAAATCCTCAACAAAATACTAGCAAGCTGAATCCAACAATTTATTAAAGAAATCACTCACCAGAATCAACTGGGATTAATTCCTGGGATGCAAGGGTTGTTCAATATTCACAAATCAATCAACATGATATATCACATAGATAAGAGAAAGGACAGAAACCATATGATCATTTCAATAGAGGAAGAAAAAGATTTGCCCCCCAGCTGCTAGGGAGAGCAGGCTGGTTATTTCATACTCATCTTGCCAGTGACCCCAGACATCTAAGGATGGCCTTGGGGAGTTGCCTGTGGCTCTGAGAATACATGTGGAGTCAGGTGGGGCTAGAAGTGAAAAAAGCTTGTGGGTGGTTTTCAAATGTAGAAAGAGACCTCATTCTGTGAAGCCTCCAATTTTAAAACTAAAAATTTTTAAAATTAAAAATACCATTCTCTGTCTCTATTTTGCTTGTGTATGCTTGCTCACACTCACCCCTACTCCCCCAAAATTCTACGAAGGCATTGCTAACCCTGGGTGGGGCTAGATTTTAATTCCACTCTCTATCCCTGAATTTTAAACATGCTTTTCCTTCTTTCTTTCCCCACACCAAACCCTTCCATCCTCAAATCTGGCTTTCCACACACAGGCAAGAAACTCACGCGACTTTGGCACAGACAGTGCACTTCCAGCTGCCATCGAGGCCTGAGACCCGACACTCGCTGCACACTCTCAGGGAGCAGGCCTGGCATGGATCTCCTCGGTCAAATATTAAGCCCAGGTTTCTCTGGCAGTGAACACAGACTCTGCTGGTTTGTTGCTGAGTCTTCCCACTTCTACGTTTTGCTTCTAAGAGTTCATTTTTCAGCTTCCTAGTAGGAGAAAGGGGGAAAAAAATCACTTAAAAAAAACAAACAAACAGGAGTGGAGCTGTCTTCATTGAAGGGGTATTTTCATTTGGAAGAAGACTAGAAATAATCAAGTAGTCAGAGCCAGACACTTTCAGAAAACAGTTTCTCTCTCTCGAGTCAACAATCCTTTGATACCAGTAGTTGAAAAACATAGTGCTTGTGTCTTGCATTTGAATTTTAACATCCTCCACTAGTGCTACAATTTTGCTCTTAGTACTTATTGCCATTCTATGCGAACTTCTCCAGTAGACTTTCAACACCATAACACTAGAACACCACCGACCTGGCAGCTCGCACAACAGACAGGATGCAAGAGTCTGAAATCAAATTTGGCAACACTGATAACTTCTCTTTAGTGATCCAACAGAGAGTTTTCTACAAGGACAGGGTCCCACCATTTCAGATCTCAATACCTGTGCTTTCGCATTTGAGGCTTTCTAGCAACTCCCACCGACTTCTGGGTTTTGCTGTCCCATATCTCTAGGTTTGGTCTAGGTTCCGTCATGAATTAGCTGTGCAGCTGGAGGCAACAATTCACCCACTATGCCTTGGTCTCTTGATTTCTTAAAATGGAGGTAATAAGGTTCTTACATAATTGTTTTGAAGATTCAACAGGGTGTGTAGTGCATAAACAATGAATCTTAAAACACTGAAAAAAAATTTAATTAAAAAAAAAAAAAGATTCAACAAGATGATAGATATAAAGATACCAGCATGGTGCCCTGCAATTATGAAGTGAATGCTAGTTCCATGTCCCTTCTTTTACTACCCGACATGTAATTTGTTTAGATACACACAGGAGAATTGAGCTATTTAAAGGGATGCAACAGCACAATTAAGGAATTTATTGGGAATGCAGAATCTCAAGCCCCACCTCAGACAAAATCTCCAGGTGATCAGAGTTTGAGAAGCAAAGCTTCAGAACATTTGAGCTCAAATTTGGGTATACTCTGGAATCACCTGGGAAGATTTTAAAAATAGTGATTCTCGAGTCTCACCCTTCTCTCTGCCAGACTCTGATGGCATTTTTTTAAAAGTGGTACTATTTATTCTAATATACTGCCAAATTTGGAAGACAGTACTCTAAAAGATAGGTTTGTCTCCACTTTAAAGTTTCAGAAACATGTTGTTCCTTTATGCTATCGGTCTCCAGTCCCTTCTTCTTCTTTTTTTTTTAGGGTTTATTTGGGAGAAAGAGATCATGCACATGAGCAGGGGGTGGGGCAGAGAGAGGGAGAGAGAGACAATCTCCAGCAGACTCCTTGCTGAGTGCAGAGCCTGAAGTGGGGCTCGATCTTACGACTCTGAGAGATCATAACCTGAGCCAAAACTAAGAGTCAGAGACTTAATCAGCTGGGTCACCCAGGTGCCCCTTCAGTTTCTTCTTGAACACAATATTTCTATATTCCTGAAAAAACAAACATCCCAGAATCAGTTTACACATCTCCTACCATTTCCTTTTACATTTGTGATACTGCACTCCGTTATATCAGACTAGACTAGCATGTCCCCAAAAGCAGGAATGATGACTTTAGTTTCTTGAATAGACTGTTTATGACCCAACTCCGTGCTAGACTCTAAGGTCCTTAAATGTTATAAACTATTTACTACCTCTTTGGGGTCTTCAAAATAACTTGTGAAGTATTACGACGTCATTCACGTTCAAGATTGTGAGCAGTATATATAAAACCAGAAACTAGGTCTTTTCATTCCTAGCCTTATGAGAGATTTCTAAATGCAAAGGTTTCTAAAACCTTTAACTGTCTCCTCCATTCATCCAATGACCATTTCCTGAGTGTATATTGTGTGTCAGGCCTTCTGGCATTCGTAGACAAGAATGAGTCAAAACAGGTATTTGCTAAGAAATTCCCATTATCCTCATGTTAGTCAAGAAGGGGACAAACCACGGAAAATGATGCATGGGATACAACAGGCAGATACAGATTGCTCTTAAGAACTCGTTCTTATCCACCAGAACACAAGCAAGAACCCACAACAAGTTTTCCTCATTCCTGGTTTAGAGCTTACAAAGTGCCTTTATGTCCTTTTTTTCATGAACGACTGGCTTATGAAATTGAATGTAAGAAAAGCTCCACACAATTTACTTTTGAAAACCTGTAGAAGCTACAGGCTTTCAAATAACAGAATGAGTTCTCATTTGAAAACCACAATTGTATTATCTGGAGAATCACAACAGATGTTTGAACACCTCGGGGCAAAAGAGACATAAAACATTGCTTATTCGAAATCTACAACAATGCATTCAACATTGTCAAAGAAACCAGGTAATTAAAATGGGTGGAACAAAGATAGCACTCATGAGGGGCACCTGGGGGGCTCAGTGGGTTAAAGCCTCTGCCTTTGGCAAAGGTCGTGATCCCGGGGTCCTAGGATCGAGCCCCGCATCAAGCTCTCTGCTCGGCGGGGACCGTGCTTCCCTTCCTGCCTCTCTGCCTACTTGTGATCTCTGTCTGTCAAATAAATAAATAAAATCTTTATAAAAAAAAAAAAGATACCACTCATGAATAGCAGTCCTACTTGAATAAGCTGCTGGGCTAAAGGGTAGTAAGTGGAGAAAACAGGGTATTCCAGGACATTCCAGAGCCAAACTCTCTTCTGGAAAACAATTCCATGAGCAGGTATCCAAATCACTTAGCAGGTCCTTAGATTGGGTGAGATCACTTGGAGAAATTATGGCCATACACTGAAACATTTTCTTTTTCTTAAGATTTTATTTGAGAGAGAGAGAGTGAGAGAGCACACACAAGTTGGGGGGGCAGAGGGAGGAGAAGAACCAGACCCCCGACCCTGCAACCATTGAGCAGGGAGGCTCACACAGGGCTCGATCCCAGGACCCCGGGATCATGACTTGAAACACAGGCAGATGCTTAACCAACTGAGGCACACAGGCATCCCCCAAAATGAAACATTTTCATTGCATCTCTCTTTGTGCTCTACTGACAAGAGTCTATTCAGCAATCAGGTTTCACCTAGTTCAGTTCTTGCGACGGAAAAGACCTGGGGCCCCATGTAAATCAGGCCACAAGGAAACAAGAATTTCAAGGTCCCAACACACTAGTTGGGACATTGTTAAGGCAATTGGTGCTGATTGTCGCACATATTCTGGGAGCCATCTCTGAGACTGTGGGAGAGGCTGGGAAGAATCCCAGAGGCTGGCAAAATACTAAATGGCCTGCTTTTTCAGATTGCTCTTAGAAACTGACCTAGTTTAATTGTGCCTGGGATGATGTGCATGAAATGGACATAGCCATTTTCAGACACTCAAGAGGAAAAAGGTTAAAGGGACGGCAACTGGAACTAGGAAAGAAAGTATGCAAGTGGAGAATTGGTATCAAGGAGAAAGGGAACATAGGGAACCTGGAGAGAGGAATAGGACAGGAGATGTCTTTTCCTTCTGCTTTACTAACCCTCTGCTTACTAACAAAGCAGGGTAGGCCTTACTTGGACTTGGTTCCTGCCTTGGCCGACCCAGTCTGAGAAACGTATCTGAGGAAGGTGACTTTCTGGGCTTCAAGCATGATATCTGTTCATCTCCCGCACCCACACAGGCAACAAGCTTAAAAATCAGCTTCTTTTTTTGATCCCGTAACAAGATACCCAGAATCAGGTAGTTCTTGCATTAGTTCAGCTACAAATCAGGTCACTAAGGGACTCAGGATCCTTTCATCCTAAAGGTCCCCTATCTTCAAGTTGTGGCTTATCATTCTTATGCAAAATGGCCAGCCAGCTCCCAGACAGCATCCGTGTTTAAGACTGGAGGAAGGGGCAAGCTGTGTCAGCGTTAACTGTCTCTTAACAGGAACATGAAAATTGACATGGCATTCCCCCGACCCCATCAGACTTCTCCTCAGGTTCTGCTGATCAGACACCGCTAGCTGCAAGGGAGGCTGGGAAAGGGGAAGGAGGAAGATGGCACAGCCCTGGCCTCTGGACCTGATTCCTGTGACTAGCACTGGTCCCTGAAATGTGGGATGGGATTCCAGGTAAAATGTTTAAGAGCAAGTGCTTGCTTTACCACATCCCATCTACTTTTCATGGAAGATGGCAAAGTCCCAAATACTGGCTACTCTGTGAGCCTGAGTCCTGGTCTGAGGAGGCTGTGAAAGAGAGTCCTCAGCCATTTTGTTATGGACAGGGAGCACAAATGAGAAATAAACCTCCATGGGTTTTTTTTTCAATGTTTTCTTTTCTTTTTTAAGATTTTATTTATTTATTTGACAGAGAGAGAGCGATCACAAGTAGGCAGAGAGGCAGGCAGAGAAAGAGGGGGAAGCAGGCTCCCCACTGAGCAGAGAGCCCAATGCGGGGCTCGATCCGAGGACCCTGAGATCATGACTTGAGCCGAAGACAGAAACTGAACCCACTGAGCCACCCAGGCACCCCAAACCTTCATGGTTTTAAGCCGCAAAGAGTTTGGGGCTGTTTCTGTAGCATCACTGAGGACCCCCTCATGGGTAAGTCCAGCCTCATTCTGCATCTGGCTGGTTCTTCATCTGACTTCCATATGTCCTTTTGTTTTAGTTTTACTGCTGATTCCCCAGAGAGGTTTTCTCTGACCACCAAATCTACAGCAGATACCCATCTTACTCTCATTCACAGAACCATGGCTTTTTTTTTCCTTCTGGCACTTACTGTAATTTTTTTTTACTTACTGTAATTTTTCATTGTACCTTTATTTGGCTGCTTTTGTTGGTTTAGTGTTTGTCTTGCCAATTCCTCTGTAATCTCTGTGAGGGCAAGACTGTATCTGGTGTGTTTAGCTATGCACGTTACAGTACGTAACCTAGGGTCCAGAACTTAACAGATATCATTTGGTTGAATGAATTAAAGAAGGCAGAAGCAGACGTTAGCAAGCATCAGAAGGAAGAGGAAGAGGGAGGGAAGGAGGGAGGGGGAAAAAAGCAATAAAGAGTGAAGGGAAGGAAGGAAAACTCAAAATA